AAAAATTTTACCTAAGCTTTTTAAAAATTACATATAAATAATATTAATCTTTACTTAATAGAAAATTTTATCATTCTAATATAATTTTTTTTTTCTTATATAATAAAATTTTGTCATATTATAAATACCCTTAATGATTTTTAATTTTAAGAATGACTTTTATTTTAGTAATGAATTATATTTTTAATAATGAATTTTGTTTAGACAATGACTTTTTATTTTAATAATGTATTTTTGTTTTGACAATGACTTTTATTTTAATAATGAATTTTTGTTTTGACAATGACTTTTATTTTAGTAATGATTTTTGCTTAGTCAAAGATCTGTGACTTTAGTTTAGACAAAGACTTGTATTGATATATAATCCCCTATCCCCTATCCCCTATCCCCCATGGGGGACGGGGTACTGCAACTCGTCAAAAATCAGTTTACCGCCACGGCCCTGACCATATTACTGTCAGGTGACAGTAATATAGACAGTAATGGACAGTCTTGACCAAACTATAATAGCAACCATCTTATTAAATTTCTGCTTTTCCCAAATGAGACCAACAGATACTAAATCCCCCTCACCAATATTTTTTTTATTCATATAATAAAATATACCAAATTCAACATAATGGTTAGAAGGATTATTGATAGATATCAAGAAATAAAATAAAACTAATATAATAAATAAAGTTGTCTATCTTATATTAATTTATATTAAAATATGCAAAATCTTGGTAATTATAAAACTGAGATTTCAACCTATCTTACTCGACATATTTGGGTTGTTTTTTCTTAAGTATTCTGAATTATTCATTTTACAATATATGATTATTTATTCCTTTCTCAATCCTATTCTCTTTTTAGCTTAAGTTCTGAGATAAGTTCTTAATTTACCAAATCTACATTTAATTCTTTCTAATTTTTTCTTTCTACTTTCCAATATTTTAGCTATAAATGGATACCTAATAATTAAATTAGGAAAATGATGATTAATAAAATTCTTTACTTTATCGATTTAATCGCTCAATTTCACAAAATAGGCAGATAATATTTTAATGAGCATTTATACTATAAATAAGGCATTTAAAATTCCAATAATTATATAGAATGGCCAAACAATTTCCTAAATATTTGATGATTAGGCTGTATAAATAGAGCTGGCTAATATGAATGAGACTGCACAGGCAACAGTCGATTTTGAGTCTAAGTAATTAAGATCGTTAGAGTTATAAGGTTTTTTTGCAGTAGCTAGAAAACTATATCCAAATAAAGCTAAAAATACAAGGGATGCTTTAATAGGAATGTAATCCTCATAATAAGCTAATACAATTATGATTAATTCTTTCTAAACAATTTTGATGGTTTCCCAATAATAAGCATATAATTTATATTCACTATAAAGGTAGCCCCAAATTTATCTTACTTTAGTGCTATTCAAACAATGTAAATTTTTTCTAACTCCATACCACAAATAAGCAGGAATTATGGCTCCAAAGAATAACAATAAGGGAATACAAAAGGCTAATAACCATTTAACATGATGCTCTGTATCATAACGATAGGCAACGTTACCTTGAATCCAATATTCATCTGAAATTACTCTATAGGATATTTAAGAGATTAAACTTCCTATTAAAGTAGGTTGTAAGTAGATAAAAACATAAATAAAAGCTGTAGGAATATATGAGAACTTGTATTTAGCTAAATTAAGCATTATTGCTATTCCACCGAAAGTAATAAACAGTGTTATATATGAAAATGCCATAATTAGACTCCAGATAATTCTAAAGTAAATAATTGGAATATCAGAAACATTTATTAAAAAGCAATCGAGAGAATAGGCCATTTATTCGATTGGATTGCCAACACTATTAACTATTGATGTCAGTTATGAAGGAACTTAAAGTTAAAATGTGCTAATAGTTGAAATGATTTATAGATAGTTTGTGAATATCTTAATTAACATAGCAGTAGAAATTTAATTTATAGCAACAGCAACTCCTAGAGCAGACAATCGAAATCCAATCATATATTCTTCAATCATATCAACAGTACTGCTGACAGACATAAAAATTGAAACAAGGGTCCAAATGCTGATGGAAACTATAGCTAAGACATTTCCAGAAATTTCTTCGCAGCTACCACATGAATATAAAGAACTTACAGAGTAAGACCCATCTCCTCGAATATTATATAAGTCGCATTATTCACATAAAGCACCTATGTGTCCGGCTGCACAAGATTTATCACCTGATTGCCATCCTCCAACACAATTTAAAGTCATGTGGTAACAATATTCTATAGTTAAGCTATAATAATATGCTCTCCAATAACTATTTCTTAATTCAATCATTGAAGATTTTATGGATTTTATTTTTTGATCATCTTTATAACTGCAACTCTAAGCACCCCTTTATACTGAGAATTGACCTTAAATTATGTCACACAAAGTACAGCCTCCAGAAGTTGCATTTAAGAATTCTCCTAATTAACACTAGAAAGTTTTGATATCTACTAGCAAATTATAATTTGATATATAATTCTTAATTAAATAAGGAGGAGTAACTTCATATTATGGAATTAAGATAATACTACACTAGATGTTTAATCTTAAGATAATATCATCATCATAAGATGGGTTGAAGTAGATAATTAAATCATCTAGATTGTAATCACCAGTATTTTCATTAAATTTTACTTTATTGTAGGATAAAGTCCCCATTAATCCTTGGACTGCTTCTCCACTAGTAGTGTTGATTATTGTTGGAGTCTAAGTGCAAGTAGTTCCAGCTAATTTTTTTTCTTGGGTGTTTTATTTATTAAGAGCGATAATACGGAATGATAGATTATATGGAATATATTCTGATTGTAATAAATCAAAGAATTTGTAAGAAAATATTTATCTACCAGAAGGTAATGTTAAATATTTTACTCTTTCAGATTATCCCAAAACCTTATAAGGATTGACTACTATTTTATCAATAATCATAGTTGGACTTTATTTTACTTTAATTTTAGTTAAAAAGGTCTACCCTCCATCTATAGATATTGTCAAAGATCTTGGATTCTCAGAAACATCAGATCCAAATAAAGTTGAATTATTATTGAATAAAAATACATTTAATAGCACTGTTTCCTGAAGTTACTATTTATTCAAATATAATCCTCCAGCAATTTTAGCTTGGTTTTCAATTATTTGACTTTCAATGATTATCATTGATGATTCATTTGAAAAATAATAAAATGCCCCTCCCATTTCAGCTTTATTACTTTCAAATAAGCAATTATGAATTATTATTTTTGTTTAAACAATAAAAACTGCTCCTCCAAATGTTGCATAGTTATTAAAAAACTTACTATTAATTATTCTAGCTTAATATCCTAATTATTAGATTAAATTTATGTAATCGTGTTTCTGAAGTATTCTTCTCCTATTTGTTAATAAATCCCTTCTAAAAAAAGGGTCATCTTCTGATTATATAAATGAAAGACATCCTGTTTATCCGCATTAACTATTTAAGATTTTAATGTTATTAAAAAATATGTTTTCAATTTATGATTAAAATATATCCTTAATTCTTAAGATGCCATATGTACAAGATACACATCTGATAGAATCAAAATTTAATCCTTAAACTTCTAATCTATGAGTTTGATTCAAGTTATCAATCTCAAACAAGCTAAAACTATAATTTGCTTATTAATAAACTTCCTTTTAGTTACATAATTATTATTATTCCTGTTCAAGTGATGTAAGGTTAATTACTTGAGAATTGTACTAATTATAATCATCAACAATGAGATTTTTTTATGGGATACCTCCTTTACATTCTAAAGATGAAAGTGATGGCTTTGTTGAAATTTAACACCCTAAATCTGAATAATTTGTGTGCTATTGCACATTTTCTGCGTTAATATTAATGATCAAAATATATCCAGATGACTCTACTTAATAATGATAAATTATTACATTATCTTAAACTTAATCTAATCAAAGGAGAAAATAAGATTGTTGAATTTATAATGTACATATCTTTTATCAAAATATTGTGAGCAAATTCAATATCTATCAAAAATTAAATATGGGTTGAAATAAAACTGCAATTTTTCATCAAGATAGATCCAAATTTTATTTTAATCAGAGGGTTGTTAGTTCTTATAAAACCTACATCCATTTTTGTAGGAGATTCTAATAGAGACAAAAATTTCATGAAACCTGCTTGTGTCACCATAAATTATGCTCTACTAAATTGAACTTTGGAGTTTATACTTTAAAGACTTGATTATAAGTATGAGAAGAAACCATATTAAATGGAAAAGCAATTTATTACGGTTAAATTTTGAAGAGTAACAAAATTTTCTTGTTCTGAAGGTACAATATAGATGCCACCTCCTTAAACTCTGCTAAATGAATTTTCTATAGTTGTTGAATATATTTGAAGATGTAATTTTGATAATTAGGCATCTATGTAGAGGCAACCTCCTGTTGAAAATGATGAACTAGCTAAACTAGTTAAAGTATTTTAAAAAATTGAATTCTCAATCAGGATAGTGCCTGTATCTAATGCTACCAGATAGAATCCACCTCCAAACAATGAAAAAGAATTATTGATTGATGTATTAAATATTGAGATTTTATTTGCAAATATCTAACCATTTCCACCTTTTGAATTAATTGGAAATGCTTACATTAGGCTCCTTCCATTATATTAACCATCTTCAAATAATAATACATTCTTAATAAAATTCTAAATTTCTAAAATATTATTTTTAAAAAACTGATTGTTTTGAAATAAAACATTAATTGATTTAATATATAATATTGAATCAGTTGAATTTGTCACAATATTTTATTTGAAAATTGTATTAGATATTTAAACATTACCCTATTATAGTTGGATTAATAAAGTAGATGCAGATTATCTTGTCAAATCTTAAATGTATTAATTTAAATGATTATTGTTAAATACAACTCTGCTTATATTTATCTAGCAGTTTTATTCAGAAAATAATGATATAATCGAAGATATTGTGTTTCTTTTTGTTATAACTAACATGTTGGATTCAAATCTACTATTCTGGATATTGATGTATTCCTTTTGTATTTTGTCAGTTATATCGTGTGCTTTAATAATTATGAAAGGGTTGTTATAAGTAATAGAATCAATAATTTCTAAATTATTGATTGTAATATTATGATAGAATCCTATGTATAAATAAAAGTACATGTTGTTGTATAATGCATAATTTAACATGCAATCGACTGATTTATGAAGTGTTTTAGAGCGAAATAAAATTGATTAAGTAAATTTGATTCTATTTAATGTTAATTTCTTAGAATTTAAAATTGTTATTTCCGGCAGACCATACTCTCTTTCAATTTCCACATCTTCCAATATACAAACTTAGCATTATATATAAATAATCGATTTTTTGTTATAAATGTCATTATATTCTATGTTTATTGTGCTCCTACTTTTCAATAATTTAAATAACTTTATTTAAATATTTAGAGCCGATATTGCTTATACTGAAATTAAATGTATGATAGCTTGTTGTTCATTGTAATAAACATTTTCAATTGTGCAATTAATAATTGAAGCATTACGAATTATTTCGAAATAAAATCTTCTTGATGAAAAAGCATTATTACTAAATATTGTGCTATTAATAATATTTGTATTGCTTATATATATATTTTGTAATTCAAAGTTATTGGAATTATAAAGATATGATTATTAAGAAATAATACAATCTAAAACAATTAAACCTTTTAGTTAAGATTAATTTTCACCTTCTCCTTAAAAATAAAACAAAACAGATTCTTCGTTAATTGTTACTGCATTTAGTTTAACTTCTTGGGTCAATAAATATGAATCATAAAAGGATCCATCTGTACTTAAATAAATAAAGGAAGAGAAATGTTCAAATGTTGTATTAGTGATGTTTATATATTTCATTATAATATTAAAGCCCCCTCCCTCAAAGTAGAATAAACGGAAAGAATAAAAATATGAATTGATTATCTTTAAATTGATTAACTTTACAACACTAATTTTAGATTTTAATTAAAAATTGAATTGAAATATCTAAACCCAATCTTATGTTTTTAGGTTTTCTATTATTAAATTTATGATACTCAAAGAATCAATATAAGGGTAAAAGAAGAACCTATAAAATTTATTGATACCTGCAATTTAAGTAAAAATGCAATCTAAAATTTCAAAATTTTTTGTATTTTCCAAAGTAAATCCTAATTCAATAAAATTGTCTTTAGCAAATTGTAAATTTTTAAAAGTAATTGTTGTAAAGTTTCTCAAATATACTACATTCTCTACAATTACAGTGGTTGGGAATTTTTGCCCAATAAATAATAGGCTAACACTTTAAACAGTAAAGACATTTTATTGAACTTTTGAAAAGAGGTTTGACTCTTATGGAATGATGCAAACTTCTCCCTAATCCTAAATTAGAGTATATTCAAAGACTACTTCTCTAATAACTTTCTCATTCAGATACTAAAATAATTCGAATGTTTCAACAGCAGATAAATAACCCTTTTCAAAGAGATCAGATATATAAATATTGCTCTTCTTAAAAGCATCTAAAGTTTCGCCTGTAAAACTAGCCGCAACTCTATTAAAATGGTTTTAAGAACAATAAATGTTATTTACAAAAATAACTTTATGATAGCATTTATTATATTTTTCACAAAAAGTGATAGTTTTTAATGATTGGTCATTGAAGTAGTAACCTTCAAAGGAATCTAAATGGAATTGTTCATAACAAATTCTTGTATATTTTAGATTCGTTGTCGATGTTATGAAATTTGGATTAAATAACTCAATTCCATAGTTAGTCCTATCTAAACAGGCTCCACAATTGCTTGGACAAGCTAAACATTTTCCATTTGAATCTAAACTTTTTTAAAATCCATATGGAGTTTCCAAGCATTATACGCATGTGGCAACTTCATTTATTATTACGCACTTAAGGCATTCCAAATCACAATTTTTTATACACTTAAATTTATTCAAAATAAACCCCAAAGGACAGGATGTGCAAACTACTTCAAAATCATTTTTGAAAATTTCTACAGCATATGTTTCGAAAGAGTGTGAATCATCGTAATTGAATACATATTTATAATAAGCCTTTATATTCCATTTCCAATAATCTTAATAAGTTTAACTTTATTAAACGCAAGTCTTACAATTAGAATCACATTTTAAACATTAACCATTTAATGTTGATGAATAAAACCCATCTTCACAAATTATACAAAAAGTAAAGAATTAACTGTATCTTTTGATACATTGTTAGCAGTTTGAGATTGATTAACAATCTGTATTTTAAGTAGAAATTTTACTTGTAGAACTAATTAAGCATTCACTTTTACCAAAAGAATTGATGATCAGGCCGAAAGTGCAATTATCATATGTTGAAGATATAAGAGGTTTTTCTTCACATGACAATGTTATTTAATTATAATAAAGATTGGCTTAACAGAGTGCACATCCTATGTAGAATGATTCTTAATTTTATTCAAGGATTTCATAATTAATATCAAGAGTTGTATAAGTAATCCCATTTTTAAGGTAGTATTAAAAGCAATAAATACAATCGGTAATACTACAAATTTGGCAATTATGACCATCAAATGTTTTAAAATACTTTGATGGATCATCACAATATTGACAAATCCCATTTGAATCACAGCTCGAACAATTTTGTCCACAAGATATACAAGCTCCATTTGATGACAGATATGTTCTAGTTGCGCACATCTTGCATTAAACCTTTTCCAAAAATATAGTACAATCTGAACACCCTGGACATTGTATACATAAATAATCTCCTGATAAAATATAGCCAGGAAAACATGTTTCGCAAACCAATTCATATTGGCAAGTTTGGCATCCTTTGGCACATGAAATACAATTCTCATTTTTTAAAGTATCCTTTTTTACAATCAACAAAATCATAAAATCCCTACTTTAGAATTAATTCATAATCTCCATTTAAATTTTTAATTGCTTAATATTATTCTATATCTATGTTCTTTCTTTTGACTGTGTAATACAAAAAGTTTTCATTAGACTAATATGTAATTGTATCTTCTACACACATTAAATAATGAAACGATGATTGGTCAAAAATACAATTGGAACACAAAATCAAACTTCTTGTATTTAATGATGAATAGCCAGGACTAAAATTTATTAATATGATACCATTTTAAGCATTATCCTCTAAAATCTATTCCATAGTTTTAATAGAAGAAATAACCAAATGAACAAACTATTTACTCTTCAGTACAGACATCATAACCCTGAGGACAATTCAATTCTAATTCCACTTCTGTCATTTATGGAAAGATTTCCGATACTGGTTTGCAAATTGATTGATTTTCAATATCTAAATATCTTTTTTTACAAGAACATATCTTTTAGTTTACAGATTAGATTCTTTGACTATTTTATGGACAAGATAAGCAGTTGTTATTATTAGGACCATCACAAGTAAGACATGAGTAATGACAGTTTGGGAATAGTGTAATAATAGGAGTCTTGCAATAAGAGATTAACTACATATCACTGATGTGTCCTTTTAAAAAATTTTTACTTTATTTATCCCCTCCAACATAAAAATACATTTTAGTTCCTGTGAAATGTTTGATGTAATTTTTCCATTAGAAAATTTTCTAATTCTCAATTTATGATGGGAAATATATCTGAAAAATAGGTTGACCTTGATTATTATTTGTTCCGATTTCATATTAAATATAATGCCACTTAACAAGTAATTCCAAATATTAAGCTCCAAAATCACTTATGACATCAGCAGCAGTACTTTTGTATCTGTTAAAAGTCGGAAAATCGTATGAATAAGTACTTATTGAAAACCCATTTGATTCTGGGATGGTATTTTAATGATATTGCAAATATAAAGCTTTATCTCCAATTTAGGTGTCATTTTAGTAGTTTTGATTTATAGTGACTCTAAATATCACAGTATCAAGGGGTGATTTCTCTAATGGCTATAATTTTAACCATCCTTTTATTACATATATTGGATATTCAAATACACTTGTACTACCAAATTAATAGCTCTATCCCAAAAATGCTTAAAAGATACTTGATATTGTATAAGTAGATTCTTAACACTCAGATTCAATTGTACATACTAATAAAAATGTCTCAAAATCTTAAAATATATTTACTGACCCCTAACTGAAAATTGTTGACAATCTTCCGATAAACTAGGTTAAGCTTAAATTTTCTCCTATTTAATTTGTTATCTCATATTTCCCTCCTATTTAATGTCTAATATTTTTCACAAGAGCAGGTATGTCATTTAAAATCTATGTTTTCGTTTTCATTGTTTATTCCAATGAATAGAATCCTATAGTGGTTTATTCTGATTACAGATTAAAATAGAAATAAAATAACATCCATTGTCCTTCATATTTTTCATGTTCAAAATTAAATACTAAAGTATCAATTTTTGTTTTAAATGAATAAAATACATTATGAGTAATGGTCTATGTTTCATCAGAAATAGAAATATAAAAAGTTAACAAATTGAATTTTGTTTCTTTTTACTATAGAAGATATATGAACTACTCTGATGATACTTTACCAATATTGTAATAACCTTGAGGAGACCTATCATTAAGATTTAATACTTATATCTGAGATTGGAAGGAAAGGTTAATATTTAAACCATAAACCATACCCAATATTTTTTTAAGAGTTGAAAATCTCATGTTCCAATTCAACATCTATTTCTAGCTATGGATTAAGCAAGCTTAAAATTGTAGAGTCTGTGCTTATGTAATTGCAACTTGAATAAACTTATCTTTAATAATTTAATGCAATACTCAAATAAAGCTAGGAGAAGAGCTATTAGCAAACTTAGACTATTTTTTTACATTTTATTTAAAAGAATTAAATCAAAAATATCTTTATTTTTTAATAGAAAATAAACTAATACGCATTAATTTTGATTTTGTTCTTCTAAATAAATGATAAGTAAAGAATTTTTCTTATTATATTAATTATAAGTATATATAAAATAATTGTAATGTCCATAAATAATGGGAATTTTCTCTTGTATATCTGGTAAATTGAAATATCGTTTGTAATTATGAGAGTTTTAACTTGAAACATATTTAAAGGTAACTTTAATAAAATTTGATAGATAAAAATAATTAAGAAAAACTCACAATTTTTACTTAACAATTCAAAATTAAACTTGACATCACTATCATTTTTTGATTCTTAACTATAATTAGTTGCCTAAAATGAATTAAAAAATTTAAAAAGTTTCAATAGTTATTTATGTCAATTATAGGTTTACCAAAAATTTTAATACATGAATTTGATTCAATTTGAATTGCTTTTGTTTAATAAGATCATTTTAATTTTCATAATGAAACATCGAGTATATTTGAAAATGTTGAGATATCTTTTCTCCATAAATTTTGGCGTATTCCTAAAAATAGACTTTAAATATTACACAAAATAGATTCAAAAGTTTCTTGAATCCTTGAATTTTCAATATTCATTAGATTATAGAGACTACTGTAGATTACTATATAAAGAAGACTTTAGAAGCTTTAGTTAATTCACTAATTAATTTTAATATTTATTATATTATTTGATTATAATTCTTCATAATTATTATTATTCTTGAACTTAATTAAATTAATTTTTTTTTCAAATCTTAGGGCAGAATCATTTTATTATTTTTTGGATTTATGGGATGTTTTTAGCTTGGTGTTCATCAAATAGATAATAATATTCAACAATTATATAAATATTATATAATTAAGATCATATATTTATTATAATAAAATTTACTTAGTCTTATTTAAGACATTTTATAATAAAAAATTAAATATTTAATTAGTTAGATGTCAAAGGAACTCAAAATCAGAAATATGAAAATTAATTTTTCATTTTTGAAAGCAAAATTAATTGAATAGAATTTGATAAATAAATAAACACCCAAATTAGGATTAAAAAAATTGATTGAGATAAGAATTATGACGTTTAAAATTGATTTGAATCTTGATTAATATTTTCATGATATTTTTTAGTTTGGATTCAAGTAACCCATTTTCTTAATCATTAAAATAATTCATTATGTGAAAATTAATTTAAAATATTAAATCAAGCCAAATTGAAAATATAGTATATACTATTCCCTCCTAAAAAAATATTTGAATTTGCTTGGAATTATAAGTTGAGCATTTAAATGGGATGAATATACCAGTTTGAAGCCTTAGTTTTTATAATTAAATTAATCTACATCAACATCCTATCTTTGATAATAATAAAATTTTGCTCCTATTTCTAACTTAGTATCTGCATCTTTTGTATATTTAAATTGATCTTCTCCTTAAGCATTGTAAACTGATTCAGTAATTCAAAATCAATTCTTTCGAATTTCTTATCACGATAAAGCTTTGCTTGATTGGCTCATTTAGCAGAATCTAAAATTTAACTTAGTAATGTTTGCTTTTTAGATATTGGTATTTTTCTTATCCAACTAAATGCTTATTTCCTTTAAAATTCAATTAAGTCTGCATATAAATACACTTTTGGTTGAGCTTTAATTCTTCTTTAATTTCTGCTGAGTATTTATTTAATCTAAATAATAATAAAAATAAACTAATTAACATATCAAAATCAAATATATATTTATTATTCATTAACTTCTGTATGCACTGCTTTTTATGATAAATTTCTTTAAATTCTTGGTCAACCAATACTAAATAGTTTGAAAACGTCATGCAAAAGGCTATTTAAGAATATTATCCATCCAAACTAGCACAAAGTGTTGAACTTATTAAAACACATAATCATATAGTTAATAAATATTAACTGAAAAAAGTCTATATAATCCTGAAAAAATTCATAAAATTATAGAGTAACGGTTGCATCTTCATTAATAAAGATAGATCTATTAACATGATATAGCACAACATCAAAAATTGAGCGAATCCACAATTAATATAAATCAAAATAATATTTAAATTGATTGTGTTCATTAATAAATTTCAAAATAAAAAGCAGACCATTTTGAATCGAAAGCAAAAGTAAATTTCAGAATAATATTATATTTTAGTTTTAAACGAAATTTATTTATAATTTTGAGAAATTAAGAAACTATTCTATTAATTTCTGTCTTTTACCAAAATCCTTTTAATAGATATCAGTATTATATAAAAGTTTAATAAAACCATGATTTTATTTGTGTTAACATAATAATTAAGAAACTTATCCTAAATATTTGATTGCAATTCTTCCACGTTGATGTTAAAGTCTTCTAAATTATTTTTACCGTGTGGAAAAATTTATTGTCTAGATTACATGTAATTTATAAAATCCGTATGCTTAAATAAATTTAAATCGCTAAAACTATCTCCTTTAAATAATATAAATTTTCAATTTTAGTTTCAATGTGATATACTTTTATATATTAAAAAAGACTTTTATTATGGTCATTCAATATCCTATCAAATTTGATGTAACGTATCTGAATGTCTTAATTCTGTCTTATTAGATCCCAATTATAAACCATGATCTTTGCAAATTATTTTTGATTTAATTTTTTATATGTATTCAAATTATTAAATTTGAATAAAATAACAGAGCAAAATAGCTTCAAATTAATGTAGTTCTATTATTCTTATTAAAGCAATTTAGTTTCCTGAAAATTTTACCAAAGAAACTATTTCTAAATTTGTCGGAATTCTTGGAGCATGAAAATTTAAACTTTCTCCTTAATAAGTTAATTATTATTTACCTTTATGTTAAGTGTTAACAATCAAACAACTACCTCTAAATATATTGATTTATTTAATGTATATTTACTATATATAAATAATTTATTTATAATTATTTTTATAAAAAATTAAATAAATGTTATTTTAATTTATAATAACGGGAGAATTAGGAAATTGGAATTAAAACAATCTCAAAAATGAATTTCATTTGATACCTTTTGAAAATATTTTCAAATAAATTATTAGCAATAAATAATTGAGAAGAATTTTTAATTAATGAAGATGAAAATATTTATGAAATTTCGAATTAGAATTTAAGAGGAACGATCTATTTTATAAATTTGTAAATAATTTATTACTAGACGATGTAGTATTTATGTTTGGAAATGATGAGAATCCATTTATATTTTCAATACTTAAATAAGCAACAGAAAATTTATGATCATTGGAAGTTCTAACCTAATTATGTTTAAATTTATATTAGAGTTTATGTTCAATAGATGCATAATTACCAAATTGTAGATAAAATTCTATCAGCTGATCGAATAGATTCAAAAATATCTAAAATTAAAAAACAAGCTTATTTAGTTACTATAATGTTTACAGAAATGAAAGTAAATGTGAAGAAAGTTGTCAAATTAAGTAATCATAGATATGCAGAGGTGTATATATATACCTTATTCTTATTGATGGAAGAGGATATTAAAATGATATATATCTTTACA